AGCACTGACCCAGACCATTTGCCTCTTTTGTCTTCTGGTATGCCTGCCTGAACACCTTTATTTTCATGTAGCACTACTTGGTGTATCCTTCCTCCAACATACCCTCTGTGATCATGGCATAGATGGCACTGTTTTTTCTCTGCTTCATCGTGCTGCTGAACTGATTCCTCTCCCCACATAGTAATGAGGGAAGGATCTCCTGCATGCTCCATGCAGGTGCTCATTTGTGATGCTGGGAACTCCTGATCAGATGTATTGCTCAGGTACACTGCCAGCTCTGAGGTCTGCTCACCACATTGACCACCCAGGAAATGAATTCAGATTTTCTTGGGGCTTTTCCTGTGTACTGGGAGAGCAGCAGAGTTGTAAGTGCTAGCCAGACCAGTCACAGCAAGGCACTGAGGAGTAACGGTAGTTCAAATTAGGATTTTTAATTCAAACTACCTACTCCGTGCCGCGTGTAGCTGCGGGCATGGAGTTCGGACTACGGGGAATTTAAAAAATGGCGGTGCCCGGGAACATGTAAATGAAGCCCGGGATATATAAATCCCGGGCTTCATTTGCAACTCCACTTGCCCTAATTACCCTACCTAGCTCGAACTAACTCCAGCATGCAAGTACTGAAATTGACTTGATTGACCCTTAAAGTGCATGGGTGGTGTAGATTCATTGTTTAGAAAATTAACCTAACGTGATTAAGTTTGACCTCAACTCCTAGGCTGTCTAGACTACTTCCCACTTTTGAAAGAGGAATTTTCATTTGCATATTTGAGTCTGAACACTGTTTCCAAAAGGGTATTTCAAAAGCAAAATCACCGTCTAGATGGATTCTTTTGAAAACTTCCCCTCCCCCCCCTCTTTTTTTCCCCAAAAGAACCTGTACTCATTTATTTTCAGGAGTACAGGTTCTTTCGAAAAAGGGTGGTGTTTGTTTGTTTTTTTCAAAAGAACCTCATATAGACTGCAGTTTCACTTTCGAAATACCCTTTTGGAAACAGTGTTCAGACTCAAATATGCAAATGAAGCACAGATATAATCTGCCTAATTTACATTCCTCTTTTGAAAGAGGGATGTGGTCTAGACATAGTCCTAGTATAGACCAGGCCTAATGTGCTAAACTTGCATGGGTGGTTTCTTTTAATTTCTTTATTTAAAAAAGAAAGAATTAGAGGCAATGATATTTCAAGGAGGGCAGAACCTGCATATGTCACATTACTGGATTTTAAGGAGAGCAGCCAGACCACTGCTGCACCCATGGGGGGTGTTTGCCCCAAAAATATATACAAAGGGGGCCATGTGAGGTGTCAAATGAAAATTTATGCTCTACTGATTCTGTACAGGCAGTCCCCGAGTTACGTGGATCTGACTTATGTCGGATCTGCAATTACAAATGGGGCTTTTCTCGCCCCGGAGGACTGGAGCGGCGGGACGCCCAGATGCGCTGCAGTCCCACCGCCCCTAAGAAAAGCTGCTCCACGTCTCCCTGGTCTGCTGGGGGGGGAGCCCCCCCCCCAGCAGACCAGGGAGACGTGGAGCAGCTTTTCTTAGGGGCGGTGGGACTGCAGCGCATCTGGGCGTCCCGCCGCTCCAGTCCTCCGGGGCGAGAAAAGCCCCATTTGTAATTGCAGATCCGACATAAGTCAGATCCACGTAACTCGGGGACTGCCTGTACAGAATCAGTAGAGCATAAATTTTCATTTGACACCTCACATGGCCCCCTTTGTATATATTTTTGGGGCAAACACCCCCCATGGGTGCAGCAGTGGTCTGGCTGCTCTCCTTAAAATCCAGTAATGTGACATATGCAGGTTCTGCCCTCCTTGAAATATCATTGCCTCTAATTCTTTCTTTTTTAAATAAAGAAATTAAAAGAAACCACCCATGCAAGTTTAGCACATTAGGCCTGGTCTATACTAGGACTATGTCTAGACCACATCCCTCTTTCAAAAGAGGAATGTAAATTAGGCAGATTATATCTGTGCTTCATTTGCATATTTGAGTCTGAACACTGTTTCCAAAAGGGTATTTCGAAAGTGAAACTGCAGTCTATATGAGGTTCTTTTGAAAAAAACAAACAAACACCACCCTTTTTCGAAAGAACCTGTACTCCTGAAAATAAATGAGTACAGGTTCTTTTGGAAGCAGAGCAATGAGCAAAAAAAGCTCAGCCTATGGCTGTGCTAATTAGCAAGGAGACAATGAAACTCTAGGTGCCAATACCCATATCAGGAATGTGACTGATACCTAAGGGCTACCAGCATGGAACACAGGGATAGGCCACTGACCAGGTGACCTGCTGTAGCCAAAAAGATGCCAGGAGAGGTATATAAGTGCCATGTGGCACCCTCCATCTTGGTGCTTAGCTCAATTCTTAATCCCAGGCAGCTGTACAGGGATCAACGAGCTGGGAAGAACTGGACCCATCCTGACATAAGATGTACACCAAGGACTTTTAAGCCAGCAGTTATAACATCTCTGCTGCAAGCCTGCATTGAGAACTGGGAGTTTCGATGCATGTAATGTATGATACTTTAACAACCTTATACTCATGCTTTTCTTTCTTTTAATAATAAACCTTTGGATTTTAGATTCTAAAGAATTGGCTTAGTGTGATCTTGTGGGTAAGATCCGGAGTGGAAATTGATTGGGATCTGTGGCTGGTTTCTTGGAACCGGGAGAACCTGTTCGGGGTAGGTGAGATTGGGTCCTATAACCCCTCGCCTGTGTGTTAGGCCCAGGGCTGTTTGGGGCACGGAGAGAGCTGGGGTGTCAGAACGGTTTTGCTCATGAAGCTTCTGGCTGGCCAGGCTGGCAGCTGAAGTGCTCTGTGGGACTGGTTTGTGGCCTATTTGGGAAGGTGTCCAGTCTGGGGCTGTACAGAGCCCCGAGTCTGAGCGATTCGCCCTGAGTGGATGCCCTCAGCTGTGCCCAGACCCATCCAGGTCCATCACAGCATACTCAAAACTTCAGAATAGGGAACAGGGCTCGCAAATGAGTGGTTGGATTTGCCCTTCCCTGATTTTCACATATGTATATACACGGTTTTGCTACTCTGTTGGATTGCAGGTATTTCTGCAGGGCCACCTATCATGTTCTCTTTTTGGACATTAGCCCTTACATGACTTCTTGTGCTTAAACCTTTCTATTTCAAGCAAATGATCATATTCACGCTATCCGTAATCGAGCTTAGAATAGCATGAATGAACAGGTAAGCTCGCTTTCCCATCTGTCCAAATCGTGCGCGCGTGTGTGTGTGTGTGTACAGTTTTGAAAGCTAAAACTTTGCATCACGGTTAGAACTAGTAAACATGAATGGAACACATGACTTTATGCCCTTATGCTTTCTTTCCTAATTCTATTTATAGATTCATAAATTTTTAGCACTATTAGCATTTGAGGTCAACTTTTTATTATTTATAAAGCATCCAGCAGTGACTGTTGTAAATTTTTTTCAAAATCACTAAATGTAATCCTGACAGATTAATGAAATAAAATAAAAAATACATTGTTTTAGACCTCAAATGACTTATTACATATGTAAATCCTATGTTAACTCAACTTTTCCCATTATGTTAAACAAATCTAAACTAAAACACTGAGGCAAATTATATGTAGTCATGACTGAACAATTTCTGGTAAAGCCTGGTAACCAGAACTATATAATTTTGCATTTTCAGATACATTTATTAAAACAGCTTAACTTGATTGGAGCACTTAATTTATATTTTTTTTAATAAGAGGAAGCTTCTGTGTCTGGTAAATCAGATCTATGGGTTTTTTAAATTTTCTTTCTGTAAACCTCTGGTGTAAATCTGGATAACAATGATGAGGCTTAACATTATGTAGTGCTTTAGACATGTGATTTTTCAAAAACACTTCTAGTCCAATGGGAGCTTTATCACGTGTACTGCATGAAGAAAATGTACTTAAGTTTTCAAAAATTCCTAGTAATTGGTGGGTGGGGAACTTAATATTTTGGGTGCAAATTTAGATTTATTAAAGAAGCCTAATTTTCAGAGTGGGTTCTCAGCACTTGCAGAAAATCTGGCTTCTTTAAGATGTTGTGATTGGCATTCCCAATATTGAGGAATCCAAAATCACTAGACAATATTTTTAGCCTTTGTAGTTAATCTTTGTGGCAAATCTGAGGTCAAGTCAGTATTACCCCATCTTTCTGAAGGGGTCTGAAGCTGAGTCAGGCAAGTCCTCCTGGAAAGGAGCCAGAGTAGCCAGCCCTCAGTGCTGCCTGGACCACGCCACTTCTTCTTCCCCCCTACCCCAAACACCATCTGGAGCACACCACTTGGGGTCTTGCAGTGCACAGCACAGCACTCCAGCAGCAAATTAAAAGGTCTAGTGCTCTAGTCACCACTGCGATAGTAGCAGTGAGCAGGAGTTGCAGCCCCTTTGAATCACCAGGCTCCTGAGCAATTGCTCTCCCCCCCCCCTCCAATCAGTAGGCCTGTTGACAGTTGAAACAACTTTTGCCTAAAGCTACAGCTCTTGTCACCAAACACTGAGCTTATTCCACTATATATGGTGTCTCAAATCTGTCTGTCTGCAGATAATTACTGTAGTATTCATTTTCTGGGCCATACTTTTAGTTAGCCTCAAAGAAGCACCTAAATATTCACAGCCAATATAATCACAAAATTGTGATTGCAAATGAAACTTCCTTAGTCATATATGCTTTATATAGACTAAATATATATGGCTATATATTTGATCAACTCTAACAGGCATTATGTGTACTGCAAAATGACTAAAATGAGAAATTCAAAAAAACCCAAAGCATCTGAAAGTGAATCAAAACAGAAGGAAAAGTTTGCATGTCATCCTGAAAACACAGGCCACTAAGCTTTAAATGCTTCACAATAATGTTGCATTATAAGCAGGTGTCAGTGGCAAGTTCATATGCCTAGATAATGAATGCTGCTTATAGAAAACACTAAATAATGTAGTGATGAATTCTAATAGCCTGCTCTGCTTTATTCTTTTAGGGAATCAGTAGCCTGTTCAGTTCACTGAAAGTAGTCCGACTTCTTCGGCTCGGTCGTGTGGCTCGCAAGTTGGATCATTACATTGAGTATGGAGCTGCAGTCTTGGTTCTGCTGGTGTGTGTGTTTGGTCTTGCAGCTCACTGGCTGGCCTGCATTTGGTACAGCATAGGAGATTATGAAGTTATCAATGAGGATACAAACACAATCCGAACTGAAAGTTGGCTTTACCAGCTGGGGGAGTCCATAGGAACGCCTTATCGGTTTAACACAACAGGTTCGGGGAAATGGGAAGGGGGGCCAAGCAAGGATTCTGTTTATATCTCCTCGTTGTACTTCACAATGACTAGTCTCACCAGTGTTGGATTTGGGAACATTGCCCCCACTACAGATGGAGAGAAGATCTTTGCGGTTGCTATGATGATGATTGGCTGTAAGTACCTGCAATTTTTTTACCATACACAATGGCCTATAAAGTCTTCCTGTGCATGTTAACCTTCATAACTTCTTAGGCAGTATCTTACAAGTTTCTAACCAATGTTTGAAACTCATTTTTGTGACCATTTAAATGTCATTACATTTAATGTAGAGCAGGCTATTATGACTCTTCTGGTATAGTATTTGAAATTCAGGGATGGGAAACCTTGTGTTTAAAATCATAGACTCCTAGGTCTGGAAGAAACCTCTCATTAAGTCCAGCCCCTTTCCCAATGTCCAGAACTGAATACAATACTCCAGATGTGGCCTCACCAGTGCCAAATAAAGGGGAATAATCACTTCTTGAGATCTGCTGGTATTTCTGTTACAAACTATAGTTGAATTTCTGCTGCAATTAGAACATGCAATTTCTGTGTATCAAAACTAATTTACCAGATATTCTTCCTAGGCTAAATTACCCAATCTATACTAACAGAAAAAATGCTATTTGACATTATAAAAACTAGTTTACTGAGATGGAGAAAGTTGGAGTCAATTTTGAAGTAACTCGTGTATTTTTGTTTAATTCTTGGCTTAATTTTCATTAACAAACCTCTCAGTAAAAAATATAAACATTTGGTTCTGATTCTACTAGTTTACTGCAGTTACTTTGAAATGTCTAGAACGTTACATGTGTGTCAGTGTTTAAAGGACCAGGGCTGTTAAGTGTTTGGGAGTCTGGTGAGGGAATTAGACTAGAAAGGCACAATTCTTTTATTTAATGAATGCTTAAGTTTCAGCTGTAAAAAATAATTTGCATTTTACTGCTAATTACTTTTTCCAATGTTAGTATTTAAACTAGTTTCTTAAAACAAAATGGCAGCAATAGTGGAATTTCTACGAAAGCTGAAAACTGTTATGCTGTTGCCTCAAACATGCTATAGATAATGTAATGAGCAGTGCAATATAAAGTAGCCTTCCAAACATGTATATCTATTGAATGTACTTGTTTTAATATTTGGGCATCTTGAGCTTTGACTCTGTGTATGATGTTCTGAAGCTGACTTACCAAGAAACCTTTAGTGTGTGATAGTAAACTTAATAACTCTTACATAAAATCCAGCATCTTAATGGGGCTATTTAGGAAATTCACAGGGTTCACATCAAATATTCACAAAAGCATGCTGAAAGGAATTGATATTTGTGGAAAGTTAGTATACTTGTTCCAAATTCAAAAGTATTGCTTTTATAACTCAGTAATTAGAAGCAAGATCTAAAATGTAAAAGAACAAAATGTATTCTTGTTTGATCTAAGGATTCTTAGAAACCAAGTCCCTAATCTTGCAAAAATTTATTTATTTGAAGAACTTTGCGCTGTGAATAGTCACATTGAAGTCCAATGGGGCTATTCGTGTATGTAACTACTTGTATGTATAAATGTTTGCATGATTGGGAACTAAGGGTATGTCTACGCTACAGAGTTAGTTCGAACTAACTTGGTTCGAATTAGTTAATTCGAACTAAGCTAATTCGAACTAACGCGTCTAGAACTAAAAACTAGTTCGAATTAGCGTTTTGCTAATTCGAACTAGCATGTCCACATTAAGTGGACCCTGAACAGGGCTTAAGGATGGCCGGAAGCAGTGCCGGCAGGGCATCAGAGGAGGACTTAGAGTGTAGAGATGCTGTCTCAGGCTAGCCGAGGGCTGTGCTTAAAGGGACCCGACTCCCACCCCGGACAGACAGTTCTCAGGGGTGCCCCACTTGAAAACCAGTCCTGGCTTGGAGTGCCCGGAGTGCCCACACTGGGCACATCACACCACTCGGCCATCAGCCCGGCTCCACTTGCCGCAGGCTGCCATCTGGGAAGAGGGGGCAATTGAGGGACTGCAGGAGAGCTTCCACCCCCAGAAGCCCGCAGAGCCAGCCCAGTCCTCCCCATCAGGGGCTCGTGCCCCATTCCTCCCTCACCTCCTTCCACTTACCATTCCCTAGCCCCCCTTCCTGATGTACAAAATAAAGATAACGTTTCTTCCAACATTGACTCTGTCTTTATTGAAAAAAACTGGGGGAGACTGGGAAAAGGAGGTGGGAGAGGGGAAGAGAAAGGCTGGGAGAGGGGAGGGCAACTAACATGATCAGGGGTTGGGAACAGGTCCCAGATGAAGAAAGGCTACAGAGACTGGGACTGTTCAGCTTAGAAAAGAGGAGACGGAGAGGGGACAGGATAGAGGTCTCTAAAAGCAGGGGTTGGGTGGAGAGGGTGCATTCAGAAAAGTTCTTCATGAGTTCCCATAAAGAAGGACTAGAGGACACCAAAGGAAAGGAATGGGTAGCAGGCTTCAAACTAGTAAGAGAAAGTTGTTCTTCCCAAAGCAAATAGTTAACCTGCAGAACTCCTTGCTGCAGGAGGCTGTGAAGGCTACAACTAGAACAGAGTTGAAAGGGAAGTGAGATCAAGTCATGGAGGTTGGGTCCATGGAGTCCTATTAGCCAGAGGGTAGGAGTGGTGTCCCTGCCCAAAGTTTGTGGAAGGCTGGAGAGGGATGGCACGAGACAAATGGCTTGGTCACTGTCTTCGGTCCATCCCCTCCAGGGTCCCTAGGGTTGGCCGCTGTCGGCAGACAGGCTACTGGGCTAGATGGACCTTTGGTCTGACCCAGGACGGCCATTGTAAGCTCAGGGCTCAGTGTCGGGGGTCTCAGTGGACCCCCTTGATTTTCATGCACACCTGGTCCTGGGTGGCCAGGCTGGCAGCTCTCCTGCCCTAGACGGCCACTTTCCTGTGCCTAGTGCGGAGATCGTGGACGAGGTCCACGATGTCCTCACTAGCCCAGGAAGGTGCCCTCCTCTTGCGGTCCAGGGCAGTAATTCAAATTACTCTACTGACAAACTATTTTTTTCCCAAAATGAGAAATTACAAGAAAGCCGACTTCTCAAAATGGATAAAGAATAGTTTCTTTGGAGACTATCTTTCATTGTCTGGCTATAGCATGGGCACCGTAGCCAGCCTGTGCCCCTTTAAGGCGTCTGGGGCTGGGAGGGGGGCATAGAGTTTCCCTGGTGTTGGCCAGAGTGGCCACCAGGGAAACCTGGGGAGGGCTAGCCTCCCACTAGTTCGAATTAAGGGTCTACGTTCGAACTAGGCTTAATCCTCGTAAAATGAGGTTTACCTAGTTCGAACTAAGCGCTCCGCTAGTTCGAATTAAATTTGAACTAGCGGACCGCTAGTGTAGCACCTATTAAAGTTAGTTCGAACTAACGGACGTTAGTTCGAACTAACTTTGTAGTGTAGACATACCCTAAGTGAGTAATCTCACTTTTCAATTCACTACTGTCTGGATTTTACTCTAAATTCTCATATTCAGAGCTGGAAATGCATCCTTTACTGTCTGACACAAATCTGCCAGAACAGTCTGTAAAATTTGTTATATAGGTTTCCTAACACTTTACCATAGGAAAGAACTTTGCAATTTTTTTCAGATGCTCTGACATCAAGGCTGTGTCTAGACTGCATCCCTTTTCCGTAAAAGGGATGCAAATTAGACACATCGCAATTGCAAATGAAGCGGGGATTTAAATCCCCCCCGCTTCATTTGCATAAAAATGTCTGCCGCTTTTTTCCGGCTCGGAGCTTTGCCGGAAAAAAGCGCCAGTCTAGATGTGGATCTTTCGGAAAATAAAGCCTTTTCCGAAAGATCCCTTATTCCTCTTAAAATAAGGAATAAGGGATCTTTCAGAAAAGGCTTTATTTTCTGAAAGATCCACGTCTAGACTGGTGCTCTTTTCCGGCAAAGCTCCGAGCTGGAAAAAAGCGGCAGGCATTTTTATGCAATTGAAGTGGGGGGGGATTTAAATCCCCGCTTCATTTGCAATTGCGATGTGTCTTGTTGCATAAATTGCTAGTTTCGTCCCCTGGAGGCTAATCCAATCTGCCCCAAGAAGAGTCACACTTTCAGGCTGAGTCCAACTTGTTTGCAAGCAAGGTCGACTCGGGAGCTATAGTTGCAAAGCGAAGTCGACACTGGGCGTTGTCTAAGCATCTTTCTTTGACTTCCTTATCTAACTTGGTATGTCTTGATTTGTTAGCTTAGCTTCGTGTTACAGCGTTATTGGTTCGCATACTTCAACTTTAACCCACTCAGTAACGACCACCAGTATAGCTTACTTAAGCAATTAGCAAATTTCCCTGACTCATGTAGTATGTGCAGTCTAGTCTTTGAGAAATGGATCTGAACAGCTAGTTCCTCTTTTTTACTACAAATCCCCCCTCCAAGATGCTTTCTTTCTCTTACATCATTTCTATTTCATCTCTTGCTAATCTTTGGTAGTGTACAATCATTTCGCGATTTATGGTGGACAGCACAATACGGTGTATAAGAGCTGTTATACAAGGTATTAAACAAGGCAATATGCACAACATTATCAAAACAAAACACTAAAAAGGCTTCCCTAAGGCCTCTAAAATTTGGTAACCAGGAAGTCAGCCAACTAAAATCCCACCCTTTCCAAGTTTGAACCGGGACGTGGGCCACGCTTCGGATTTCTGTTGCTAAATTTTTAATCAGTTTACCATTATCATCTATTTGCATCAACAGTCTGTCCAATTAAATTTCTGACACAGCCCCCCTTCAGCCGCTAGTAGATAATCAAGGCCCATTCGGTTTTGGAGGACGGCAGTCCGTAATTGAGTAAGCTGGTTAGCTACCAGATCTAAGGCATCTGCAGTGCGATTAGCGAATATTTCTACCACGGCTTGGAGCCGAATTATTCAATTAGTAAGGTAAGTGGGCTCCCTCCCAACCACATTAGGCTCCCAGGTGGCGGGGCCGTAATACTTTATAATTCTTTCTGCGGGCCACTCATCTTTCCCCCACCGCTGAATGGCAGACAGATCAGAGGCAGTAAGAACCCTCTTGATCCTGGGCTTTCCTTCTGTTCTGTTAGCCACTTGAGGGGGGGCTGGGGAGGAGGAGCACTTGGCGTTTTTTCAGTTGGTGAGTCATACGGGGGGGG